TCTCTCTCTCTCTCTCTCTCTCTCTCTCTCTCTCTCTCTCTCTCTCTCTTTTCTTCTTTATATTTATTTCTATGTTATATTACTTTTTAAAGTGTACATATACATTTGTACAAATCTCCACAAACATAACACTTCTCACACAAGTACATTAACATGTCAGCTTCATGACTTGAAATATTCTCTTTCTTTCTATAATACTCCTCTCTCACATGAACTATATATTTTTTGCACAATTTAAAAAAAAAAGAAAAGAAAAAAGAACTATATATATATATATTTATATATACCCTCCAATTATTGTGTACCAAAGAAGCCCTCATAGGATTTATTCAAATCTTGCAAATTGAAAGAAATCGTCAATTACTATATTCATCATGCGCTTCCTTCTTTTTCAAACCTAGAAATTTTGGTACATTTTTTTTGTGTTTATACATAATTAGTAATGGAGACAAATGTTATTAGAAATTCCACACTCGATCGCCTACACACTTTAGAAGAGACTAGTGGTAGAGTGGTTTCTCATTTTCAAATCCCATAGTTTATATAGACATTGGATGCTTTTTCTTTTTGTTCCCGAATAATTTGAAGATTTAATTTGAAATCATTCATACATGCATAAACCCTAAAGATTTTAAAACCACTACTGTTATTATTATTATTAAAGATATGATGATGGGTTTTTAATATGTTGAGAGAGACATAGATATTTAATATAAATCGTATGATGATAGTGTGATGTTGAAAAAGAGAGAGAGAGAGATTGATAAAAAAATGGACGGTGGAGATGAGTGATGGCAACCCTAAACTGAAAAGAGTAGGGCAATGAATGAGTTTGGACACGTGTCGATATATGGATGGTAGAGTCTGATATAATCCACCTGATTTTATTTTTTCATCAATTTTTTCTTTACTTATAAAAACGAGTTCAGGGAATCATGTGACCTAACCTTAACTAGGTGAAGCCTCGTACGATTTTTCCCAACTTACGGAACTACCCCTTTGTGATTGGTGAAGTTATTATACAAAGTAAAAAAAAAGAGACACCCTCTTTTGTGATATACATTCATGTGTTTCTTATTTTTACTGCTAGATTTATTTTATATCTATTCTTACTCTGCTAGATTTGTTTTTTCTATTTCCAATCTTTTTGTATATATAGAACTCTTTTAAAAGAAACTATTTTAATGTTTTGTTATTATTTTGACTAATTTATAAAACAAACCATGCATGCATGTTGATAAATATCTAGTTTGGTATGAGATGAGAGTTTGATGAGACCGAAGACGACCGTCACACACAGAAAGAAATATGAAAGTAGAAATAGAAACATAAATGGATAAAATAAACAGAGTTATGAACGTAAGTGATAGTTTATTTTGGTTATCTTAGGGTTCGTCCGATGTTAGAGATCATGTCTGACCAAAACTCTTTAGTGTGTGTGTGTGCGCTTTATATTTGCTGCTGCAGACGTAATTGCTTTATTTTGACCGGTAAGTAGGTGATGGACACTATGGTGTGATTCAATTAGAAAAACTAAACATAGCTTTATTATTCTGTTTGGTTATATTTATACCCATTTTTTTAGCTTCTCTTTTTCTTTGTTATTTTCACATTGATCAATCTCTCTCGATCGTCCAAGCATTTTAAGCAAGTTTTCATCACTAATTATTCTTTATCTTTGTCTTTACATGTGGACTCTATGTTACGATATTTTGATTTGCTTTAGTTATCAATTAGGTAAAAAATATATACTGTATATGGTTGTAATATAACTTACGATCAAATCTAGTTGGAAGGGTATGACCGTATGAGAAGAAAAAAAAGGAAGGGAAGTACGAATTCACTTGTTATCATCAGATCTGGTCGTATAGTTCAATGTAAGATGATGACAATTGATAGAGCTGATGATGTGTGTATTAAACCAAAAGAGAAACTAAAAGTACATTCAACTGTTTATTTATTGATGTCATACACCAATGGAAGTTAAACACATATATCATAATGGTATAATTAAGTATATATATATCTTCTCTCTTTTTCTGTACTCTTTCATTCTTTTCTTGATACCCCAATTTTTTCAATTCTTCCCCCATTGATAACATATGTGGTGAATTACAAGGTATGTGACCAACATCGATACCATATTTAGTTTTTCAACGTTTCAACTGTCAAGCATTTCAAGAAAATACAAACATTCTTTAAGTCTCTTCAAGACTTTTATCCAAAAGAGATTTTAGTTTTTTTTTGTTGCAACATATATCAATAATGACATATATTGAAAAAAAAAGAAAACAAACAGAAAGTGAGATAAATTTTGTTTGTAGGATTTATTATTCTCTTAACCGTAATAATATTTTTTCAGTGACATGCACATATATAATACTGATCCTATATAGAGACATCAAGTTTTTTTTTTTTTTTTTCGCCAGAGACTTCAAGTTTATGAAATGGAGTTTTTATACACTAGTGTATAATTCTTGCAATCTTTTCATGTGCAGTCAGTGCAGAACACATTATAATTATCCTTTTACTTAATTATAGTCCTCTAACTCCATTGCTAGATACACCGAATCAACTCGAGAAATGTCACAACTAAAAAGTAAAAGCATACTAAAATTTTAGTGATAAGAAGAAATATTTTGGATCGTAAAAACGGACCAAAAGAAGTTAGAGCTAATACGCAAAGTCGGGGATCATAAAAACGGAACAAAAGAACTTAAAGAAAGAGAATCAAAGCACTTGGAAATACTCTTTTGGCTTTGGGATCATATGCACTGGAGCACACAAAAAGGTCCCACTTGGAGGCAAAGATGTATAAATCATATCCATCGAATGAGAGATCCAACGGTCGTATAGAGAACTCCCAAAATCAGAAAAATGCTATTACACGTAGGAGAAACAAGAAAGAAGAATCTCGATGTGGAGCTATAATAAGCTAAAGAGACGATATCGACCGACGACGGTGATGAATGATCGATGAAGCCGGGGGACCATTATCTCAACTTGCAATATGAATGTGTGTTGCACTACAAACTAGAAGGAAAATAAATGCCACGTGAAATCCTACACGACAGCTAAGTTGCGAAGTACTGGTGATGTGGTCCATATATATGCATTGGGGGTGAGATGTGAATCGGACGGCTTTGAGCCGATGTCGTGAAAGGGTCCAAGGAAAGGAGTAAGAACCGTTGGATTAATCTGCTATATATAGACGGACAGGGTCCATGTCAAGACGTAATGGGAAGGGGACCTCGTTTCCCAAAATAGAAATATGGTGTTATCGTCAAACAAGTCACGTCTGGGGTTTTATTGATGAGTGGGGTTTTGAGTTTTTGGACCAGTCTCTCTATCTTTTTTCTTCTTCTTCTTTTTTTCACCCTTTAACTTTCCCCTACAATAGATATATAGTAAGTTACTGTTGTCGTAGACTCATAGTCATTATGCATTTAAAAGGTTTTTACTTTTCAGCCTGCAAGAAAATTATATGGTTTTATATACAATGGACCCTTCCGTAATCTACACTTATAGAGTGTAAATGTTATTTACAAACTAATTTGAACTGCTGAATGACTAAAATACACACTAACAGATTTCAGATACATATAATGATGATATAATTAGCTTTTTAAGCACAAAAGACTATATAACATAAAATAATGTCATTTATGTAGGGACTCGAGATAGTGAGAGTACGTAAATAACTTTGATGACTCTTTTTATAAGTTTGCGCTGCTCATTAAATGGTCTTAATCAGTTGATTTCAAAACGGATACATTACTACCAGTAGACTGGAAATTAACCTTTATCAAAAAAAATGAAACAAATTTAAAAGAGAGCCGACGAAACAATTTACACAATATTTTAGATGCCTAATTAATCCAAGATAAGACATAAGAGTCTACCGAAATAGAATTGGAGGAGTGTCAAAGCTAGCTAGTGTCAAATATTGTTGCTCTTCAATTTCACGCATGGTTTGATCGAATGCTAAACCAGGCCTTAAGCAGGTTGGGAGGCAAGATAATCAAAGTACAAAATGTACAATCATTCTTTTTGACAAGAAATTTTGCATATATATATATGCTGTTAGAAAAGAGAAAGGTGACCAACTCTTAATTAGAGACGCAATGATATAATGGTATAGTAAGTGAGAAAACGAACATGCAAATCGCAAAATAAAGGATGGGCCTCAAACACTACTTATAAAATTTTATTATTGACACTATTGAAGCTGTAATTATTTAATACAAGCGGTCGTCTCTGTTTTTCATGTGACATGTCATGATGTAGGGGTCTTCAAAACCGGCCATGTCTCATAACATTGTTATGATAATTAGGAACCATATACTTAAACTAGGAAATAAAATCTATGTAATATTTCTTACAAATATAATGTTGTGGATTTATCTATTTTATATAAAGAAACAAAAGATATAAAAGTAATTCACAATATAATCTCAAATCCTTTGTACATGTAAACAAACTCACACCATATTTTGACGATCCAATACTCCATGTACCCACAAAATACTCGAGTTACGTACTCGATTAGCTCCAAAATACATCATATATTAGATTTAGTCTTCACGTTATTTTCTAAAATTTCTTTATGTTCTTACAAAACTGTAATGTCTCAGTCTTAGTAGCTAGAGTCCCCAATTACCTGTCTTGTTGCTCTTTCTAAAGTGCCTCGGTGAATGGATCACTCTAAAATTAGGGGAACTTGGGTATTTAATTTGAATCATCCCCATATATATCAAGTGAGATATTTATTAATTGCAGGATTTTTATTTTTAAATGGACCAATTAACATGATCGGTTCGAGTATCAGATTTTAACCCGGGAAATTTCGGTTTGGTTTGAGTAGCTCTGGTTTGTTGCCTCGTCCTCGACACAACAAGAGAACAATATAGTCGCACGTCGGCTTTCTCTCTCTGCCCACTTCTTCTTCTTCCTAAGAGCGCGCCTCTGTTTCGCCGGTTCGTTCCCTCAGCTCTCTTAGACCTTCTCACGCGCCTTCGTTTTCTATCTTAGTTCTTCTCTGAATAAGCTACTGTCTAGCCATGGCTCTTCCGCTCGGGAAGCTCACTATCCTCATCGGTGCAGGTCTGTGCTTTTTATATCCAGTGACTAATTTGGTCGCTGGTCGAATTCTCCTCTGATTTTATTTATTTATTTTCATGGGTAATTGCAATTAGAGGATGAAAAGTTAGGGTTTTTCTTAAACCCTTTTTTTTTTCTTTCTTAAACCCTTTGATTCCTGTAGAATTCATCAGTGTCCTTGACTAGCTCAAAATTTAAGGCTTTTGATCTTTCAGCGTGGTTTCATCTGTTGCGTATTGGATTCAGAGTATAGCTTTTGTCTGAATTAGTGAGAAGAAGCTTTTGTTTAGTTTCTATGTTAATGCACCTACAATGATTGTGAACTTGCCGTATCGATTGATTTTGTTTACGTGCTTAGTGTTCATCCAAGTTACTGCATTTTACTAATATTGTGGAGTTTATTTATCTATTTTGCCAATGTTCTTTTAGGTCTTGTTGGGTCAGCATTTGCTAAAGAAGGGGGCTTACTAGATGTCTCGAGTTTGGTCTCGGGTGCTGTTAAGGTATTCAAATTTTTCTATGTTTTCAACTTGGCGTCTCCTCAGCTAACAATGGTTTTGTTTCTTTTGACAGATGGTATTTAGGCAACTGAAACAGGAAGAACCTAGCAAATCAGCTAGCAATCCCCGCGATGATGTACTTGCGGCCCAGGTTAGTTTGACATTAGTCTATTGCCTAGGATTAGTTCTCGGATAGAGATGGATAATATATATACTTACTGACGACTTACATTATTGTGATTGAGCTCTCTTTTTTTTTGTTTTTGGTTGTAGGTTAACAGTATTAGGCATGAAATACAGTTGCTGTCTTCAAACAGACCTATCACCATTGTTACAACACCAGGATCAGGTCCTCTGGAGTTTTTAACTTTTTATACTGGAGTTTTTGTATTCCTCTTCTGCACTAGAAATGACGAAATTGGTTTGATATGAAACTTGGAATTGGGTTCACACACTTATATCTGGACATTGTTTTTTGACATCCTAATTCAGGTGGCAGAAAGTATGGTTTGATCATTATTGTTGGGGTGATAGGCTACGGATATGTGTGGTGGAAGGTAATAATACTTCACCATACCTGAGCTACTTAGAATTGGTTAGTTGCTTATTTGAAGTGATGTTAACTAGTCAAGGTTTTGTATTTTGGAAAACATTTCATTGGGTTCTCCTTTCTATTTAGTTTGACCTGGTTTAGTTGTTTGTAGGTTCTTTCTCTGTTTTGAAAACTTACTGCACACTGAATTATTCTGCAACATTCTCAGGGCTGGAAACTTCCAGACTTAATGTTTGCGACAAGGCGTAGTTTATCAGATGCATGTAATAAGGTTGACAAACAAATCGATGGTTTTCACTCATCGCTCTCGGCAAGTTCTCACTTCCCTTATTTTCTTGAGCAATCTTATTGACTGCTTGCGTACTAATTTGTCTTGATTTGACCATTGAACTTATTCTTATCAGTTATGATGGTTTCTTTCGTGAACAAATCCATCTAAATGATCTAGTACAATAAGTATAATTCAAGTGCAAAGATCAATACATTGTCTCATTTTGTTTCTGTTAGCATTTTATGACAGGGTACAAGACAGGAGTTAAGTTCAAACGTAGGCAGGATCGGTTGTCGTTTGGATGCAAATATGGAGGTTATTGAAGAAACAGAACGAGGGGTATGTTAGATTAAATTGAAACAACGTTTCTTTTTCACTGCATTGTCAAGGCTTTCTGATGATTCTCATTGTTTTTTTATAATGTATCAAAATGTTTAGGTGACTGAATTACGGGATGTTACAACAGTTATAAAGGATGACATTAAGTCTGTTTTCGATGCCGTTGAAACTCTGGTGAGAAAATTGAGAAATCGCATATATATTCTACCATTTGTTCTCCCTAGAACCGAAAGAGAGAGATAATATTGTGATCTTCATGTTTGTCAGGCTAATAAAGTCTATCGCATTGAGGGAAATCAGGTAGCATGTCACAGTTGTAGTTAGAGAAATTTTTTTGTGTTCATCTAGCATTGTTTTGATCTAATTCGAATTTCTTGGCCATCCATAAAGGATATCACGCTGAGAGGAGTTGGGGCTCTGCATGCTCAATGTCGGGAGAACCAAAGAATGCAAGAGTCTAATCAGGCATGACCATTCTCCTTTGTGCAGAGGATTTTAGGGAAATTGCTGCACATACATTTTCATCTTATTTACACAGACTTTTTTTATGTTTAGGCTTTGCCATCAACTTCGTCATTGCCTGCCCTTGAGGGAGCTCCTATAACACCATCTTCAAGGGTAAATGACTAAGTTTTTTTATCTGGTCTGGTGTCGTAGTCACATTAAACTGTTCATCACGTGACAGATCTTGCTCTGTTCTATTGTTGATTTTCTCTCGTGTTTGATGTAATAAGCAGACTCTGTCTTTGCCACCTGTTTCTCCTGATGAATCCCAGTCGCCATCAACTCCTAAAGGGGCTAAACAGGTTTGTTCTATAAGCATATTTTTTTTCTGTTTAGAAACTAAATTTCACTGTATAGAGTTCTGACGTTTTATTTGGACAGTCACACAGTCCACTTCAGCACACTCAGTCTATGTCTGGTTTGAAGGTAAAAATTCTTTATCTCTTCAGTCCTAACTGTCCCGCAAGTTCTGAGCATCAATATGCGTCAAACCTAATCTAAAGCAATTTTCTATGAATTAGGACATAAGTGAAAGCTCTATCAGCCGCGAGACATTGTCAAATGGAACAAGTTCTGGAGGAAACGGTGTATCAGGCATGAGTTCGGGAATGCTGAGTAGGTTCTCAATACCAAGAATAGTGAGGAGTCGTACTACGGTCAACACAGTAGTGCCTACTAAGTACTAACTGAAGAGAGTCTGTTTATTTAATAATTAGTAGGATTAAGATTAACAAACAAGAAGGGGGCATGTTGTATCTAATAGAGTATTTGAATAGATTTTTAACCTTTTTTAGCTTGCATCGAAACAATGCCATAAATGTTAAATAGTTGTTTTGTAGGGATGCAGCATATATTCAAATGGGTTATTTATCACACTTTCGTTGCTGTGTTTTAGAATACAAGAGGGTCACGATGATTCCTTTGATTGAGTTTGGTCTGTTGATACTTGAAAGAGCTTTTGAATATAAAAGCTATTATGATGAGAAGAGTTTAATATATAAAAGCTTGTTGAAAAATAATGACATACCTCAGATTGGTGGTCTAAGTGAGGTATGCAATTCAATGTTCTGCAAACTGATGGAGTATAAAAAGTCCTTTAATAAGGCTTGTTTGATGGCGAAATTGCCCGATTAAAAGATATATTGCTGGAGCTACTATAGAGAAAACAACAGTCTCTGCTTAGAACAGCCTTAGGCTTGTACAATAATGTATGTCCGATCAAAAGATATTTTGCTTGAGCTGGGACAACATGTTGCTTCAATCTCTGCTCTTGAACAATGCTGTTTGTTCCATGAAAAGATATTTTGCTGGAGCTGGGATAGCAAGTATAACAAGAGAAATCTTCAATCTCTGCTAAGATAAGCCTTCATTAAGGTTTGGACGATGATGTCCTGAGAAATCATTTTCTCTGCTCAAACAAAATAATTCAATATCTGCAAATTGATGGAGAATGAAAGTCCTTTAACAAGGCTTCTTTTATAGCTTTTGAATAAGGGAAAGATAAATTGTCCCATTAAGAAGGTATCTTGTTGGAGCTGGGAAACATGTGAACATTCAAAACTCTACTAAAGAGAGATCTTCAATCTCTGAAGTCTGCATATATCAGCCTTTGTTAAGGCTTTTTACAGTGTGGTTTCATTCAGTTATATGCTTGAACTATAAATCTCGCTGAGATATGATATTCAATATTCTGCAAACTCAGGACTTGTTTTTAATGGTGTTCTAATATTGGAATCTCGATTGTCAGTTTTGAGATGGCATTTATTATACAAAATCAGCCATGATAGTCTCTCATCTCTTGCTAGAAACAATCTTAAATATGTCAATAGAGTACCCAGTTACTTTGCTTGTTCTCAAGCATTTCAAAACTTTTCACACTAAGTAAACAAAAGATGATGACATGAAACAGTCTCTTATCATTTTCACTATTATCGAAAAATTTGGTCGAAACAATGTAATTGCCAAATGGACCAGGCTTTTTATTTAATACAGAAAGGAAAAGAAGAGACGGCCAGACAAAACCATCGTCGACTTCTGTATAAAGTATAAACTGAGTTACGAAAGGGCAGAGCAACAGACTGATTAACTGTGACATATAATCCAATTAAATATAAGCTGCATCCCTACAAAAAATTATGCACCATTTATGACATTCTCTCCACTAAGCAAGGGACCGAGCATACACACAGCATAATCTATTCAAATCCTCTACTGGCACTTACCCATCTCTGGCTTTGCTGATCATCATTTTTGAATGATCAAAACTCTCTCTTCGGTATTGACAAGCAACTATTGGGGTCCAATGGAGTTAGTAGGTACTGTGTTGACCACACTACGAGTCCTCCCTATTCTTGGTATTGAGAACATACTAAACAGGCCCGAACTCGTGTTTCCCGTGCTTTCTCCGGATTGTGTTCCACTGTCATTTATCTCCTGAGACCCAGATTTATATAAGATCGTTTTAGGTTGGGTTTGACCCATATCGAAGTTTGAAAGGAAGGGAGGAAGAATATTACATTTACCTTCAAACCAGACATAGATTGAGTGTGCTGAAGGGGACCACGAGACTGTCCAAACGTAACGTCAGTATTTGCTAAAACCAACATCAGTTTCAGTTTCTAATCCAAAGTCTAGTTTAAGATAGAACAAACCTGTTGTGTGCCATTAGAAGTTGAAGAAGACTGGGATTCACGGGGAGAAGCAGGAGGCAAAGATAAAGTCTGCATACATCAAAACACGAGAGAGAGAGAAATAAGCAAAAAGAACAGAATAAAAACGCAATGCACAGTTGAAATTCATCATGAGACCAGATAAAAGATTTAGTCGTTTACCCTTGACGATGGTGTCATAGGAGCTGCCTCAAGGGCTGGCATTGATGACGTTGATGGCAAAGCCTAAACATAAAAGATGTCTGGGTAAATAAGATGAGCATGTAGATTACGAAGCCAATTCCCTAAAATGCACTGCAAAATGGAGAAGGTTCATGCCTGATTGGACTCTTGAGTTCTTCGGTTCTCCCGACACTGAGCATGCAGAGCCCCAACTCCTTTAAGCGTGATATCCTTTATGGATGACCAAGAAATTTAAATTCAATCAATACAATGCCTGGTGGAAATAAAAAAGTTGCACCTCCAACTACCCCAAATGTTACCTGATTTCCTTCGATACGATAGACTTTGCTTGCCTGAAAATTACGAAGATCACATGATTACCCCTTTTTCATTTTTTTAAAGGCAGAACATACTGGTGAACATATATTCAATCACTGAATTTTCTCACCAGAGTTTCAACAGCATCGAAAACAGACCTAACGTCATCCTTCATAATTGCTGTACCATCCTGTAGTTTAGTCACCTAAACATTATGACATATAAAGAAACAAACAGTTAGAATCATCATAAGGCCTTGACAACACATTGAAATGGAAGTATTTGTCAACATTTAATCTAACATACCTCTCGACCTGTTTCTTGAATAATTTCTGTATTTGCATCCAAACTACGACCCATCTGATCAATTTTTGAACTTAAATCCTTTTTTGTGCCCTGTCATGATATGTAAAATGAGACAAAATTGTTGTTCTGCAACTAAATTAAAATAGTTATCAGATCATGTGGATGGAATAGATCACAAAAGGAATCATCAAAACAGACAAGAATAGAGTTTAGTGGTCAAAACAAGAAAAAATAGTAAGCAAACAATCTTCAGGAGTACTAGAAAATATGGAAAATAAGAACTTGCCGAGAGCGATGCGTAAAATCCATCAATCTGGGTGCCAACATTATTACATGCATCTGATAAGCTGCGCCTTGTAGCAAACATAAAATCTGGAAGTTTCCAGCCCTGAAATTATTGCATAAAAAATAATTGAAAAGGAGAACCAGATAAATGTTTCCTAAAAATACGAAAAATCTTGACTAGCCAACATCACTTCGAGCAAGCAAGTAACTACTTTAGGTAGCTGAGGAATGGTGAAGAATATTACCTTCCACCATACATATCCGTACCCTATCACTCCAATTATAATGATCAGACCATACTTTCTACCACCTAGGAATTAAAAAGAAGTTGTTAAATTATTTGCTTTTAAGCAACAATTAACAGTAAAAGAAATATCAACGTCATATCTATGAGATGACTTGCTAATACTAGGGATAGATCAGGACATAAGTCTGTCGTCTTTGATGTTGGGAAAATGTAGCAAAAGAAGAAGAAAATTCTATAAGAAAAATTTCAAAAACCATGGCCAGAAAAATATAAGCGAATGTCAACAGTTTGAGAAACGTTTCTGGTGTACTGTTTCATATTAGCATAATAGCCAAACCATTTTGGTCCTTTGTCACAGATTTTTAAGCTAGAAGATTAGAGCAGAGAGGGATACAAAAGTTCAACACAAAAATTCTAGAGAACCTGATCCTGCCGTCGTAACAATAGTGATAGGTCTGTTTGAACCCAGCAACTGCAATTCATGCCTAAGACTGTTAACCTACAAGAAAAATAGATATAAGACAAGTAAATCTAAGTCCTCCACACGCCTAATCTTATCCAGCACTATCTAATAACTTATCCTCGTCAATAAATAGATAAATCTCAAACAAACCTGGGCCATAAGTGTATCATTGCGAGGCTTGCTAGATGATTTGGCAGGTTCTTCTTGTTTCAGTTGCCTAAATACCATCTATCAAGAGAAAGAAACCATTGAACCATTTTTACAAACAACACAAGGAGTCGCCAAGCTTTACACCCAATATTTCATAGTAAAAAGGAAACAGAGAACACTTAATGAAATCAGAAGATGGGTGAAAGATGGTAAGCAGTGTGACATAGAAATTTATACCTTAAAAGCCCCCGAAACAAAATTGGATACATCTGGTAAGCCCCCTTCTTTGGCAAGCACTGACCCAACAAGACCTAACGTAAAAGCAAGATGGATGAACATCAAACATTTACACTAGAGTTATCGATGCAGTAAGATAGCAAATGGGTAATTTATTATCGATGGTGCAGTCACAACGGAACTAAGTTTAATGTATCCCTTAACAAATACATGAGAGTTAAAAGTGAATTCTTTTTCAAATTCCGGTGTTTTCAGATAGGCTGAACTGAAGAAACTAGGCTACAGAGGTAAACCAACACAGTGAACGCACTAAATTAATCAAAAGACTTGAAATTTGAGCTGAAGAAGATTCGATGATTAAGAGCCAGTGAAGCAACAGTGATCATTCTACAGGAACCAAAGGGTTTATCAAAAAACCCTAATTTTGCACATCCCCTAATTGCGATTACACATCGACTAACCGAAATCAGAAGCAGAGAAGAATTCGAGCACCGATCAATAATCCAGTACGAGAATAAAAACATCCCAATAGATGAACGGACCTGCACCGATGAGGATGGTGAGCTTCCCGAGCGGAATAGCCATATCTAGAGACGAGTACTCAACCCTGCGAGCTTGTACAGACTAAGGTGGAAGAGGAAGCCGCATGAGAGGATCGAAGAGAGAATTGGAAGAGGAGCTCCGGAAAAGTACGCGGGAGACAGATTCGGTCTTGTGAAGGCGGAGGGAGGCGGAGAGAGAGAGAGAGAGAGAGAGATACTCAAATTGTCTTGTCGAAGGGACAGTGTTCCTCAAGTGACTTGAGAAACAATATTTTTCTTCATTCATCTTTTTTTTTTCTTTCTAGGATTTGTTTTTTATCTCTGGGCCGAGAAATATCAGAATGGAAATGACAAAGCCTTAGAATATGCTCTAAGAAGATGCCCATGAGTAGTCCTAGCCAAAAAAATACTACTGAACCGGAATTAAACTAAACCGAAAGGAACCGAAACCAAAACCAAACTGAAATTGACGAAAAAGTTTAAAAGGTAAACTTAAGAACCGAAACCGAATCATACTGAACCGAAACTGAATCAAGAACCGAATAA